TTGCCCAGATTTGATTCAGCAGCGTCAAAGCCCTTTGCTCAGCCTTTATCCCACCACCACCATCACTAACTCTTACACGCAAGTCACAACCCAAGTTTTGTTTTCATTGTAGAAGTACAAGCTGGAAGTGTTTGAGGAAGTGCCCCTGACCCACTGTACCGTGTTGTTTTTAGCTGCTGTCAAGCCGGCCCCTTGTGCACATGGAACCATCACGAATTGGAGTGTTGTGATCAGGGCTTTCAGGAAGCAGATCAGCAGGCCTTCCTTTCCACCCTGTCTTAGTCTGGAAGCTTCTCTGAAAGCCGCTGAGCGTCCCTGCAACATACAAGCCCGCACTGACGAGTGCAGGCTGCGGGAGGTATCAGCTGGCAACGGCCCACAACATTCCCTGTGCAAATGCCGTTGGTCACTCAACAGCTCTTCTGTGAAGCCTTCCCTGGGTTGCTGCAGCTCCAAAGCCGGAATCCAGCTCCCTTCCTCTCACTTCCCACAGGACCGGGGCTGCTTCCTTACAGCCTGAACACTGGATCTTTGATTGTGATCTCTGAAGCTGTCTCCTTTCCCGAGAGCTCTAGGGCAGGATCCAGTCTCATCTGGCTTCACATCCCCATGGTACCCAGCATCTTAGAATATTTAATTTAATAGACACTTGCTCAAAGTACAGTCCTATCCTATAGGGCTGCTATGAGTTGGAATCCACTCGATGACAATGGGTTTGGCGGCTTAAAATCAGAGCATATCTTTACCAACGATATGAATTTGAAACAGGGCCATGTTCAATTGGCACAGTCTATAGTGAAGCCCTTAACTGCCTTAACTAGCAACACCTGTACCATTTACTTACCTTTCAACCCCAACAGCATTTATCCCCATATAGTAAAAGGATGCTCCTAGTATCAAGGAATTGGAGGAGGCGATTTAAGAACCCCAGTGTACCTCTAATGCCTGTTAACCACACCTGTGATAAGCACCAACATCTGTATGTGCCTCAATTCTGACAGAGAACTATATGGCCTGCTGTTAATTTTTGTGCCCTCTTTACTCCTCAGGTCCAAACAACTCATGGAAAAAAAAAACCTAGGGGAAAAAAAATTCAGGGACACAGAGCACTGGCTTTGGGAGAATTTATTAAGAAGTCATAATCAAACAAAAGTGATTTAATTTAAAAAACAAAACATTTACACATGGTATATAAGCAAGACAGCTGAAGATGTCCCTGACAGACACCTGGAGCAAAAGGTCCCCACACACCACATGCTTTGGTTACAGTTGGGAAACAGGCGTCGTCTACTTGGGTGAGAAACTCCCATGTTACGGTGAGACCAGCAAGCATTTTGTGATTTCTGCCACTATCATTTAAGGGTTTTGAGTTCAGGGGTCTCCTACATTTCTCTTCTGTGCATTGTTATAGTGCAGGGCTGAGCAAAACTGACGCAAAAGAGCAGCTTTCTCCATTGTGATTTGGGGGACAGTATGTGGAGCAAATTGTTTGCAACAGTTCATACACTGTGTTCTGCAACACTCACTGCAATCCCCACAGTGTAAAAGCACTTCCCACTTCCCATGCTTACCTTTTCCCTGTGTCCTTCCCTCTGCCTGCCTGCCTGCCTCCTGAGCTCTCTCCCGCACAGACACTGCCTGCTCATTACCCATGGTTGACTGTTCTCAGGTGTGTACCTGCCTGGCTAATTGTTCACCTGCTCGGCCTATGTGGCTGGGAGCCTCGGGAGTGAGCCTGACGAGGGGCCACAGTCTCAGGGATTTCACCAATCTCTAGCAGACCAGTTAAGAGGCAGCTGTTTAGAATGAAGGTTCTAGGAGCCACGTCCTGATCCACAATAGTCGGTTGGGGGCGGGATGGGGAAGTCAGGACAGGTACATATCATTCTACCTGGCTCCTGGAGAGACTGATACTGTTATTTTTCACAAATAACATGCCCACACTTTGTTTCTATTAATTTGATAATTATAGCACATTAAGTCAGTAGTTGAATGCAAAAACCTTATCAGATCGTCTTAAGTGGAACCATTAGGTTATGTTAAGTCTGGTTATTTAATACTTAATTATGTCTTTGTAGTGTGAAGTAAAATCAGCAACATGTTAAAAATACTGCATAGAGTGCCTATGAAAAAACGTGTGGGAGAAGAGCAGCTGTTGCCCACTGGGAGAAATACATAACGCACAAGTTGTTTGAAGGAGAACAATTAGAGTAGTCCTGGGGGCTTGGTGTCAGTTTCCAAATGCAGGAGTGGCCAGACCAGAGGACCTAGCTTTATACTGGATGTATCACCGGAAGCCTGTGTGCTGCAATCCTGGAGACTTCACTTGGAGAAGTTTTTCACGTCCCAGACTCCAGATCAAGAGTGGGGCTTTGGGCCAAAACTGAGGCCAGACCAGCAGGGGGCAGTCTTTCCCCAGAGAGAAAAATCCCATTTCCTAAAAGGAGACAAGGCCAATGGCTGGTGAGTGTGTAGATGTGAGAGTATGTAAGAGTTTAAGAGGATGAGTGCTATGGGAGAAATGAACGGAAGAGTGCTAAAACCACGTGAGAGTCTGAATCAGGTAACAACTTCTTTTTTCAACCAGTTTCTGCCTGATTCGAGGCCACAGAGCATGAGTGTTTAAAAACTAACCCTTAACTTGGACTCACCAATGTATACCATTTATTCTCTCGTTGTAATGAGACACTTTAAAAAATGGCCAACCACCCATGACAAATCTTTGGGTCATTCTTTAACGTGCTGTTGCTAAGATATTCACACTCTACCTAAACAGAGTTGTAAATACATCAAACTTGTTGGGACTTAAAACAAAAGGGACAATAGTTTAAAAAAAAAACTAAATTCACACACACATATATATATAGTCTCACCAGCATCCACTGCTATGAAAACTGCAGTCCATCTTTTCAAAAGGCACAGTGGGAAGAGCTGATACTTTTGCCACTGGCTTTGCCACTGGCTTCAATCACATCAGCTCAAATCACTGTGTGTAATCATCCCCCAGCACTGTCCCTCTGCCTTGGCAGCTGGGAGACTGAGGCATAGGAAGGTGCTTCATCCGACATCCACTGCCCTGAAGGAGTGGACCCAGGGTGGGGGGTCCCTGCCAGGCAGGGCTCTTACTCCACTACAATTAGTGTGCCACAAATACTGGCCAGAACTTGATGTAAAAACAGTCATCCTTGTTCCAGCCTTCTAGTTATCAAAAACGTGAAAAGAATTTTAAGGGAAAAATGCAAATTTTACTAAAAATTACTCTTTCCAAGGGTAATCATGTGCCAAAGATCATAAGGCCGTGGGACATAGCAGGAAATCAGCAAAATGTGGTGTCCAGCTTTAACACTGGATGAGGGGGAAGGCCTTCATTTTCAAGGAGTGTTTGTTTCCCCCGAGGCAAACATGGTGATGATTCAGCATGGCTTCGGGGGCTCAGATGCTGTGTCCCAAGGCTAAATACCTGTTCAAACTAACATTTAAAAAAAAAAAAATGATACCTGTTTCTTCTTAAGGATTGAATAGGAGCCAGAGAGGGAATCCTCTGGTGTTTGCTACTGATCACCTTCCGAACTCTAACGAGGACACTATGTCCTAAAGGGCATTGTATTTGGTTGGCTTGTTTTCCTAAGACAGGATGAAGTTGTTCTTGCATTTATTATCCTTAAGATTCTCATGAGTTAAGAGGTGGGAAGACAGGGAGGGGAGCTCCTGCTTCTATTTAGCAGATGAGAACTAGATTTACAGGAAGTAAGTAAGAAATGGAGGAGCAACAGGCAGTGCCAACATCAAGGTGACTCTGTCAAGACCAACGTCAGGGAGGCCTGTCCTCTCTGTCAGGCCCCGAAAAGGACTAAAGCCATTGTTCTTCTACAGACCCACCTTTGCAGTCAGGTGACAGCACCTTCCAAGTTTCTAAGGAAGCAGAAGCCGCTGAAGATAAGCAGAAGCCCTGTCCCAAGTCACTCTGAAGCAGGAGAGAGCTAGACATTCAGTGAGCCCAGATGTGTTCACGTGGTTTCCACTTCTGCTGAAGGCTAGACCTCGCCTGGGAGCTCTGGGGGCGTGGTGCCTAGGGCATTTGACTGCTAACAAGAAGGCTGGCGGTTCACACTCCTCGGAAGGAAGACTGGGCAATCTACTTCTGCAGTGATACTGTCTCGGAAACCCAAGGACGGGTCGCTGTGAGTCAGAATGGACTCAACGGCAGTGAGTCTGGCTTTTGGTGAGACCGTACTTGCTGGGTGAGGCAGGAGCAGCCAGTCAGTCTCCTGGATCAGAAGAGCATGGCAATGGTGCCTGGAACTCTGCGGCGGAATGCACGGAATGGAGAGCAGATGCCAGTTTCCAAACTAATGCCTGAAGGAAGCAAGGGCTACCAGGAGGGCAGGGTCCTCCCCACAGCCTCACAGCTCGCAGGAGCTGTAAACCTCTTCAGAGTCAGGTGTTCTTCTGAGTGGTCTTGTCACCAGCCAGGCATGGTCTAATGTGATCCTAATCACAGCAGAGTCACCCTGAGTGAGGAATACAGTTTTAAACAGTGCTACCCTTTCTGCCAGACCAAAATCCCAGTTTGGGCTGTAAGAGTCAGAGCTGGGCAAGGTCATAACTGAAAAGAAACTGCTGTCTCTCCAGCCTCCCAGGTCTTCTCTGTCTCCGTGGGCTCTATAGAACCAGTGGGGATGTGGCTCTTCCTAAACTGAGCCACAGTTCCCGCCAGCCTATGACTGGACCCAACATCTGTGTAGCAGGGGGTTGGGGAATCCTTAAAGAACTGGACTGTAACTTTTACCTTGAGTACAAATGTAGCATGACCCTTACAACTAACGGTCCCAAGACATTCTTTTGCCTTTTGCACAGTAGCATCGCATCTCAGATATCAGCAACATAGACTTGTGAGTTGAGAATTTTTCAAAAGAAAATGAGTTGTCAAGATTTGCCCACCTGACAACTTTCCTGTATCTTGACTCTTGCATCCAGTGGGCTGTTTTCCTGTTTGTGGCTCACAGTAATCCCAAAAACCTATGCAGCATTGGCACAAATGTTGTAGCGCAGATGCCAACAGATGTGTAGGTGACAAACTTGTAAGGCACTTCAATTTCCAGTCTCCGCCTGGCCTCCTTGTTCCTGATGACCACCCTGAACCACGAGTATAACACTTGAAGTGAAAGATTTTGTACTAGTTGACGAACCAAGAGGATCAACACAATTCCCACAGTAAATTTGGTCAGACCCAAAACTAACACGTCAGTGGTGAGCAGAGGGATGCTTTGAATGACAGGGAGTGATTCAGTGGGCTTTGACACGAGCTGGAAAAAGTGGTTGAGCCAGCATCCTATGACGACTCCAGCCCCGACGGCAAGAATGGTGGTAGTGTCTGCTCTGGTTGGGCTGTAGTAGTCAGACACGGGGTAATTGTAACACAAGAAGAACAGTACAATTATGACACACACAGGGAAGAGAGGGCTGGCCGAGTCCAGGTGGTCGATGAGGGTCCAGGCAGGATAGGTGAGGGCGATGAGGAGCGCAGTGATCAGGACGCCACCTACCACATCCTGCAAGAAAGAAAGAGAGAAGACAAACATAAGTTAGTAAGTGCTTACATGCATATTGATAGAGTTTTGATCCAATTAGAGTTGATTCGATTTAAAATACCATTTTTAAATTGGTCTACTTTATAGTACATGTTCAAAAATGTATAAAGTTGGAAAAATTTAAAAATAGGGAAAAAACAGACACAGTCATGCTATTCACATTTTTCATGTTTTCTCCTAGCTATTCTATAGTTTAGAGTAAGTTCCATCTTTGTTTTCTTAATGCATAGCTAAAAGCACATTGTACCTTCAGTTTTGTGTTATTTTTATTTAGCACTATATCACAAGTATTGTCATACTCTTCAAAGAGGTGGCACCATCCTTTGTACACAGGCAGAGGTTGGGGGTGCACACTGGCTGGAGGGGAAGTTTCCTTCTCAGGGAACCACATTCATACAGCAGGCATCCATACCATGGTTACTTAACCAAACCAGATGCTGTCACGCCGACTTTGACTCATGGCGATCGCCCGTGTGTCAGAGTGGAACAGTGCTCCACAGAGTTGCTAGTGCTCAATTTGTTGGAAATAGATGCCACCTCTTTCTTCTGAGGGGCCTCAGGTGGATTCAAACCTCCGACCTTTTGGTTGGCGGCCAAGTGCATTAACCATCCGCACCACTCAGGGATTCCATATACAGCAGCAGGTGCTCACTAATGTTTTTCAGTGGCAACAAAAGAGGCCACTAGCATTTTCTTTTTTCAGATGGAATATTTTTGAGTGGAAATTTCTGGTAGGGGTGGGGCAAAACAGTTTTGCAGAAGGCTCGAGGTTCAGAGTGATCCTGTAAGTGCCAAGGAAATGCATGCAGTGTACATGTTTCTCTTGATGGCACCCTGGTCTCCCTGATCACAGAGACTGAGTCCTACTGGTGACATCCGATGCGCCTTCCTGTCATCACACATCCCCACTAGTCACACACTCCACAGATCCCTCCTCCATTCATCCCCAAGCTCCCTCAATCTGCCCCCACCACTGATGGCCCCCTGTATCACCGAGTTCAGACCTTCACTGTGTCTCATGCAACCCAGTCTCTGTCCCCAAACATCCACTGACCACCTTCTTGATGGGTTCCTAGTAGCAACTGCTCTTAAGTATTAAAGTGACTGAGAATCACTACAGATGGTTAAAATGCAGATTCCAGGGTATTGCTCTTGGATTCCGATTAGAAGCGGCCCAGGAGTGGACATTTTAATACCTGAAGGTCATTCTGATGCAAAGGTTCTAAATAGCAAACTCTGGGAAACACTGGCCAATAGGTTGGTAGCCATGGAGCCCTGGCAGCACAGTGGGTAAGCGCCTGGCTGCTAACCAAAAAGGTCGGCAGTTCAAACCCACCAGCTGCTCCCTGGGAGAAATAAGGCAGTCTGCTCCTGTAAAGACTTGTAGCCTTGGAAACTATAAGGCAGTTCCATTTTGTCCTATAGGATCGTTCTGAGTTGGAACAGACTCTGTGGCAACAAGTTTTTGTTTTGTTTTTTTGGTAGGTTGGTAGTCAAGGTCCTCTAGGGTATGGGTTTAATTAACCTTTTCCTCCAGTGTGTTCTCTCTCTCACTACTTTTCCATTTGGACTTTCTATTCCAGTCAAATAGGTCTAGTCACCTTTCCCAGACATGCCAGTGCAATTTTATTATCAGTTTTCATTTATGTGCAGCACAGCTTACCCATCTCGACCTGTCAAGACCTTATCAGTCCTTCTGAGGCTCAGCTCAAAAGCCAGTTCCTTCCCAAGATAGCATCATGTTTCAGCACAGGTGAAGTAGCCTCTTCTCCCTCTTCCTGAACTCAACATCAAGGCACCAGGCTTACTATCATTCCGAAAGCCCTTACCTTAGATTGCCTGTTCTGTTTGTTTCTACTTTGATTCTCATATAATTTATTTTTGTTGTTGAGAATATACACACCAGGACATACACCAATTCAGTAATTTCTGTATGTACAGCTCAGTGGCACTGACGACACTAAGTTGTGTAACCATTCTCACCGTCCTTTCCCAAGTTATCCCCCTCCCTTAACATAAACTCACAGGCCCCCATAAGTTTCCTATCTAATCTTTCGAGTTGCTGTTGTCAGTTTGGTCCCATACAGATAGATCTTCAGAGAGCACAGTGTTCAAGGCAGACATTCTCCACTAGGTAAGCTAAACTAGTATTTGATTTTAAGAGAACTTCAGGGATATTTTGGTTTAAAGATGAACTCAGAGCAATACTTTCGGGGGTTCATTCAGCCCCAATGGCTCCAGAAATTCTGGTCCCGAGAATTTGATATTCTATTCTGCATTCCCCCTGTTTTTTAGACTGCCTTTGGCACAGTTGATGTATTCACGTCTCCACCCTTGAGTTGATTATTAGACTCTGCTCAGCAAGGGTTGGGTCTCTTGCCTCTTTGTGTTCTTCTCAAAGCTCTCAGCATAGTGCCCAACACACAGGTGACATTCAGTTATAGTCTTGGCTCCAACGTGACAAATCTTACCTTTCTCTTACTCTGAGTATCTATAATATTTAGCACTCATTGTTTCAATACCTCAAACAAGAAAGAAACCCAACCCTATAGCACACAAACGAAAAACTGCCTCCCTTCCATCTTCCTCTGTAACTGCAGTTACCACATTCCAAGACACCTGACTGGAATATTCTTTCTCAACTAGTTCTTTTCATCTTCAGTGCATCAGGAGACTAGACTATTTTGGTCCAGAGTCCCAGCAACTGAGACAAAAATAAGTTTAGCCAACATGGCTGCCTGTGTAGGATTTTTTTTTTTCCCTTCTGACCACACAGTTATATTTTCAGTCCTAAAAGGTGCTACTATCATAAAGACATGTAGGTATTTCTGTCAGGAAAATATGTGAACCACAGTCAATGAGCCTTCTAAATTTTTTATACTAAAATTATTCTAAATGCCTTTTAAAAACAAAGACTGTAATGCTTGAAAATCCAAGAACTTTAGTGGTTTTTAAAACCATAGAATTCACAGAAAGTATAAAAGCTCAGGAAACCAATCTCCATCTCTGAAGTGGGTCTGCTGTGTTTATTTTCACAAATTCAGTACAGGAGGTTATTTCTTGGAAATTTCACCATCACATGCGTGGCAGGGTAAGTGGGGGCAGAAGGAAAGGGTTCATAGTTGTAGGGAACAGAAAAGGAATGTGTAGGACAGAGGACGACACTACAGTGGAGCATGCGGGTGGAGCCGGGAGCCACTGCCTAGGGGCTGGGATAATTCTGCTATGGTCAGAATCAACTCGACAGCAGAGGGTTTGACTTTTTTTGAACAGGTGAATGGGAAATGGAAGGCAGAGAGAAGAGAGGAAAGTGTGTGTGTGGTTAATAGAGAGCTATGAATTGAGGGTCACCAAAAAATATAAGGCTGGCGGTTCAAACCCACCAGCCACTCCTCGGAAGTTTGGGCAATCTACTTCCGTAGTGATACCACCTCAGAAACCCAAGGAGGGGTGACTATGAGTCGGGTCCAACTCCACAGCACATAACAACAACAACAAAAGATACCAAGAAAATATCCCAAACCCACTGCCATCGAGTAGAATTTTGACTCACAGCAACCCTATAGTGCCCCTATAGGACAGAACAGAACTGCCCCACAGGGTTTCCAAGGCCATCACTCTTTACAGGAGCGGACTACCACATCTTTCTCCCATGGACCAACTGGTGGGTTTAAACTGCTGACCTCTGAATTAGCAGCTGAGTGCTTAATCACTATGCCACCAGGGCTCCTGGCAGATAATGGTGCAAAAAAACAAATTTAAAATTCCTTTTCATAGGAAAATATAATTGGACTAAAATGTATTCAAACGTTGTTGGGTGCCATTGAGTAGATTCCAACTCATAGTGATTCTAAGAAACAGAACAGAACTGCCTCCCAGGGCTTTCTAGGCTGTAATCTCCACGGGAAAAGACTGCCAGGTCTTTGTGTCACACAGCCACTATGTGGGTCTGGTGAACTAACGTTTTACACCATCAGAGCTCCATATTCAAATACTGAGCTAAAGTAGTTCTACCCCCAGGAATTTTTTCTAAGAAAATAATCAGAGAAAATAATTAAAATGCTCTCAAAGGTTTAAATATAGGTAAGATTTGAAAAGATACAATTTTGCAACTTTATCTTTTTATGGTTGCCATATCTGAGATGGATCAAATACAAACTTCATGCAAACTTTCTGTAAAGAGTGGTCCTACTTTTAAATAAATGTATACTTGTACACATGAGTAAAACAGCAGAAGGAAATAAACTAAAATGTTAGACTAGGTTTTTTCTGTTTCGATATTACCAAGGACTGTTTTCTTTTTTATGTTCTGCAGTATTTTCCAAATTTTCTACAGTCAACGTCCACTATTTTTATTATAACAATGCAATCAAGGAGAGGATCTCAGGATGTTAAGACAAGGTCAGAATGTTGCAAAATAGACTAAAAAATAATTAGACAATGCTTGTAATTTTCACATCATGCCAAAAATCGTTATGATAATCAATGTAGATCTTAGGATTCCTCTGTGGTCTAAGTAACATTTAAAGCAAAGGTGCATAAATTCATTGCCAACACTACTGCACAGACTGTATTGTTTGACAACCTTGAATTCAACCCACCAGCCAAGATTTAAGTGCAGCCTTTCAAATTATTTTGGGTGAAAAATAAACTACTACATGAAGTAATATTTTCCAAAGAAAAAAATGCAGAAAGATTTAAATCCCTTTACCCGTTCTTACAGTCACTTTATAAAACTTAGTGTTTAGACAAAAGCTTGAGATTTCTTGTATCTCATATGAAACAAAAATAAAGCAAGGAATCTGCAGCATTTGGAGATGAGTGCTATAGAAGCCACCTGAAGCATCAGAGCAAATCTGTGGATGCTTACTTACATAAACACACAAAACAGTGTTGTGATGCTAACCCAAATGTCCTGCCTTTTGGTAAACATCTCTGGGTACTTCAGCAGCAGGCCTCAA